CCATGACTTGCTCCATTTCAGACAAAAGTATCAGCAGCAGCCGCACTATCATCACAACGACGAGACTGTCTACTATCGTTCACACAACAATGCCTATCACCAGCCAAAGCCCTATGTGCCAGGTGAGTGTGTGTGATGCAGTTATCCATTTGTGCTTCCTCGTTGCTAACTCTCGCCTCTTCTTCTTTCAGCTGCCCAGCGTGGCAATGCGATGCATACAACCTTGCCGCCGCAGGCCATTGTACGTGAATCACCTTGCATGGTGGTTAGCTCGGCCAATTTCAATGGACGCAACGCTGGCATGGGCAATGCCGGCGGTGGGATAATGGCCAATACCATTGTGACTGCCACAGGCGGTGGAATTGGTAACACTGTACAGCCTATACGGCATTACCGTCCCGCCGCCCCCTACCAGTTTGTTAAGAAATAATACAGAAGCAATGCGTCACCTGCCGCTCGCTGTTTGTTCACCATTTTGTCATCATGTCCATCACCATCTCATCCAAATGCATGCCCCGCCTAGCAACGTGCATAGATGTATGTAACTGATGCATGTGCATGCGCCGCCGCCATTAGATGATTGGGCTTTGGTCGTTTTGTAGCCTGAGCCGGATCATAACACACACTGCTCCAAAGGTAGATGTAATAATTATAGATACACACACACATACATACGCATATAAACACCACACTCACACACATACATACATAATTTTCACACATTGAGTTTAACAAGATTTCGAGAGTGGAAAACCTAACCAAAACCAAACAAAACGAAATGAAATGAAATGAAATGAAATGAGTAAAATGTACGTTTAAGAAATTAGCCTAAGTAGACGAATGCTCCAAATGAACACACACACACACAGACGACTCACACGTACAACAAGAACACACACACACACCGACGAACGTTAATTGGGCTTTCGATTGATTGTAGGAGTGGATTGAGGGGAACTCGTTAGATGCCATTTTCTAAGCTTTCCGTTTTCTTTTTTTTGTTTATTGGAATTTTAAACTGTGTGAATCTGTTTTCTGAACGGACCCCAAGGTGTCTTGATTTTATTTTGTTTTGTTTAATTTTGTATTCATTATAATTGACGCATTTGTTCGTTTAATATCATTTCATATTTATATATCTCAATACATATGTATATATACAAATATATAT